AGAGATCAAATAAAACTCTGACGAATCAATTTCGCCTGGTAGAAATTTTAGCTGTCTACTTTCTTTTAAATTGAAGCATAATCGTTGCTTCAATTCATTTCATTCTGACAATCTGGTTTCCATCAGGCATTCGATTTCATTTCCATTAACTTACGTAAAAATTTTAATTTCAACTGTCTGGCTGGTCTCGTGTCGAGCGCGTCGAAATTTAAATATAACATTCTCAGAGATGTAATTTAGATTACTTTCGAATTGGACGTGCCGCTAGAAGCAGAAATAATACGATCAAAGACAAATTACTTTCGTGGAACAAATTTTGAATATTAAATTAAAATCATTGTAACCTAATTGTAACCTAATTGTTTATTAGTTGATACGTGAATGTACATTAAAAGAATAATAATTATTCATTAACAACAAGTATTCTAAGTATAATTTTCCTGTCAATCTCCTAAGCTTTGAGCAATCATATAAATTTCTTGATATGTTATATAATATAATAAACGAAGGTAATAATTATTTATTATAAAGCAAATATTTTTTTATTATTCCTAGAATCCCTAAGATTCGAGTTATTATGTAAATTTATTAAATTATTACTATAATTATTTGTCATTCGTGAATAATATTTAACACATAATTATGTCTTCAATTTATGCCTATTTTCTTTTCTATTTATTATTATTATTCGTGTTATTTACATTATTTATATTTATATTATACATTTAAATTTATATTTATTTACAAATTTAATTACTGTTAATTTAATTTATTAATTATTAATATAATACTGTTAATTTATTAATTATTAATATAATACTGTTAATTTAATTTATTAATTATTAATACAATTAATAGAATTGCACGTTATAAAATAGTATACTGTTCTAATTCGTTTGATACTTCATCCATTGAATGTGCATAAACTATTTATTATACTACTCGTGAAAGCTATTCACTAGTTCAAACGAATTTTTGCTTCTTCTTTCGAAGTTGAAAAATAAAAATACATGGGAATTTAAATTGCATTTCTTTCAATCATAAAATTTACCCTATATTCAACATACCTAACGCCTCTCATATTAGTTCCTCCTTTGAATACCCCACTTTACCTTCATCCCTCTTCATGTATTCCACATACTTATACATAGTTTATCGTATGAATTTCGAAAGTATGCTACATCCATTTTTATCATGCATCACACGATTAATTCTTCATAACTTTCGTGACAATGAAACATCGTACGTATATATATACTATAATATACTAATATAATTGAAATATTATTAATAGTATATTATTCGTGTTAATATAAAATTCGTATTAAAATAAAATAAAATAATAACTAAATTTTATTTTATATAATTTATTTAATTTAATAGAATCAAATAAATTATACTTTATAATAAAATTACCGAAAGTTTGAGAGTTTTTTTTTTATCGAGTGAACACGTAATAAATTAAAAATTCATTTAGCTTTAAATATATACCTTTGAGATATTTATTCAATATTGTAACCATTTCTTTGAGAATAAACCAAATACATAAATAAACTATTTTATTGTTGATTATAAGATTATCTGGTACGGGCTAGACACTCAAAAGTTTCGTAGATATTGATAGAAAGAATAAACAACGTCTAAAAACTCTGCAGAGTGATCTTTCTATTGTTGAAATTTTCTGTTGGAAATTTGGAATTTTCTTTCGGTATAATTTTGAATAAAAATTACAAACGCTCCAGCACAAGCGTAAATAATATCGACGTGCGAAAAGAAAATTTCTCGCAAGAATAGAAAGAAATGTAGAATAAAATTTTTCATAAGAATGCTTCGTATTTAAGAAAATTAAATTCGATAAATAATAATTTACAACTAAATTTGAAAATTAATAATTTTGTTAATTTTTTTTGTAATGAGTATTTTGTGGGTAAAATGTCTGCACAAATACACACTTAGTTATTTAATTATAGCTCGCATGTTTTTATTGATAATACAAATAATGGGTTATCAATGGTGGTAAATATTTACCTGTCAAAATGTAGCATTATTTAGCTGCCATTGAGGGACGAATTCCAATTTCAAGTAGAGAGCAATCAATTTTGCGTAAACTACTCTCGATTTCAATTACAAGCGTCATTGTTGTAAGTGGAATATATTGAAACCGGTGATCCTTGTTTTGAAATTGTTTTGGATCGATGTATCATTACAACAATAGCAGCAGGTTTATTTTTAAACGAAGTTTTCAATGTTCGTTTCCACTGATTATCGAAGCGATGCTCGACTTTTGTAAGTAGCTTCGAGTAGTCATAAATGAAACGGTCGTCGAAATCGATTTCTTTGTTAAAGAATGTTCTTCTTTAAATATACTTAATTAGCTTCTTTAAATTACTTAATTAGCGGATATTTATGCATTTATAAGAAAGTTTAAAAAGAGTGGAAACGTAGAAAATCCACATACATAATTGCTTATAATATTTGTAAACAGTAAAACAGTTTTCTATTTATATTCAATTTTTTTTTAAAACTGAATTCATGAAAATGCAGATTTTATTTTATGCACTTACGCGAAATTATATCCGGATATTTTAATTTTTTAACCTTTAAAAAGCAACGATTGCTTTCTGACCGACAGCTGCTTCCCAAAGCAAATTTTTTTTCGACAGTAATGCAATTAAATGGCGATGCATCAAAAATTTTATGAGTTCGTTAAAAAAAAAAAGACACGTCCGTACTTCCTTCTAACTACATTAAATTACTTTCACTTGCAAACCGAGTGACTCTTGTTTCAAACATTTTTTTCCATAACGAAAAGTTCGAAAGATAATTTTGTATATATAAAAAATGTATTCGCAGTTTATTTATTTCGAAAAAAAAAATGATACAAAATGAATTCTGATGGCACGAAATAAGCTGAAAACCAAGAATAAAATTTCCTCGTTCAACATTTCGTTTTCGAGGAAACTGAGTTTGAAAATTTGTCGAGTATACCTGAATTTGATTAATTTCATATTAAACAGGAATAAAATAAATAGTGAGGATATTCTACGTGTAAAAATAAATAAAAAATATAGAATACAACTTTTTCATTCTATTTTCACTATAGACTTTCAATGTATTTTGAAAATTGGCTTAGTGCGTACATATTTACTTGATATATATTCAAAATTTACGTGAAAAAAATTTTATTCTACAATTTTGAATTATTTTCGCATATGACATCCTTTTTAACCAAACGTGCAGAATAATGTCCCGAGTTAGCCTAACTCTAAATATTCAAGATCAATTTGTTGTGCAAATGTAATGCTATTTTACAATTAGTTGAATTTTACATGCATAATTTATATACACGTAAAATAGAAGTTCGTTTTTGAAAAATGATATTATAACAATTTATAAAAACTTAGTTTCCTTTTGTGACGTGAGTTCTCTAAAATTCGGTGAGTCCTCATTTTGATTATTAATTATTGCAAAATTTTTCATATCTCTTTCTTTTCTAATTCTCATCGATCTATACAGATAAATCAAGTTCTTTTTAATTCTTAAATTTTTTTTAATCTTCATAGGTTAATTGCAATGATATATGCAATTCAAGAGTGAACAAAAGTTTCTGTTAATCTTCTAATCGTAAATTGTTTCGCCCATTCGGTTTTCCTGTACACTTTATTCCCGGTGTCAAAATATTTGGTATCAGATAAAATAATCGAATCTAAAACCCGATACACATTTACTTTACAACGTAGCGCTAAAATTACATTGTGCATCTCTATGAACAAGGTATCGGGTGTATCATAAATCGATTTTAGCCTTGATTACAACCTTCATTTTATATATTCCTATATATTTAGAAAGATAACCTTTATGTTGAAATTTATTCACGGAGTATGGAGCAAAAATGGAGGACATTCCATTCAAGATCGATTTATTATGGATAATAATAAATACCGGAAATTTATAGACACAAACATCCACGATTAACTAGTAACGTGATAAACATTTGACAATGGCCTTTATTATAAAAAAATATTAAATTTTTATATGTTTTATATACATATTATATATAATATATTATATATATTTTAATATCTTACCTTTATTATAAAAAATATTAAATTTTTATATGTTTTATATATTTTATATATAAAGATACAATCAAATTACGAATTTTTATGCATGAAGAAACTTCAAAAGTGCAAAATTGGAATATTGAAAAGTATTAGATCGTTGCAGATGAAACAGCGAAATATTCTTAATAAAAATTTCCATCGTTCGTAGTCTTCTTGAAAATAATTAATTTTGCCACGATCATTGAATTTTTGTGTTTCAATTTTATACTCAACAACAGTTTAACAAGTGTAATATTTTAAAAATTAAAAAATATTCGAAATAATATTAAAGAATATCAAAAATATTTTAAAAACACTGAATTCCACATTTTAACATATAGTCTGTCCTTTTGTAAATAAAACAATCATCAAATTACACATCGATCAGCAAGCTCCAAATAAGTTTAAATAAAGTTTAAATAAATTGTTCATTTGTCACATCATTTATAATAAATATCAGATCTGTTAGATTAATATCAAACGATTAAAGTTACTAGACAAGTAAATTTAATTCAATTTATTTTAATTTATTGGACAAAGTTATCTTATCATTATGTAGTTATTCAGTTTAATGAATTACTTAACAACAATTTCATATGCAACAATCTAATATAATACATATAACGTTTGTGCGTAACGTATTTCACACATCGTGCGAAAAGTCCCATTTTTCCTTCGTCAATCTCCATAAAAAAACACGAAATTGCATGAACATCCGCAGCCAAACAATCACGCAATCGAGTTGAATAGAATTTCCGTGCAGTTTCCTACTCTACGCTGCGAACTACAGAGCTAGCCTCCTCTCTCTCTCTCTCTCTCTTTCTCTCTTTCTGTCTCTCAGTCTCTCGTGACACTTAATAAAAGAAGTTTGAAGGAAAACGGAGTGCAACAACTCACCGAAACACTTGGTCTGTATCCTTTTGTACATCTCGCCGCTGATCTTTCGGTGCACTATCCTCTGCGTAGTCGCCTGGTATTTCTTCCGAAAGTTTCTCTCGCTCTCCGTCGATTCCTGGGAGCTCCTCCTCTCCCTGGCGATGATTTCCGGAACTTCGTCGTCGCCATCCCGGCCGTCTGGCCTCTTCCACACGTGGCTCTCCTCGAGGTCGCCGATGTAAATCCACTCGCTGCTCGTGTACGGTTCCACGTACGTGTCCTCGTCTTCGCGACCTGACATCAGACGACGTTAAGAACAACGAGCGTCAGAAGGTTGGACGATGTCTCGAATAAAATGAACTTTCGGCGCGCGGAATTCTAATCCGTGAATGCGATTATCTTCGATACTGTTTGTCGTTTAAAAGAAATGTCTCAAATGCATTTTTTTTTTATGTTTCGATAAAAATTAAATATATGATATTTATTATTTATTTTTCATAATATTTATAATATTATAATATATAATATTTATAATACTTTTTATTTATTTTTTTAAATATAATATTACATATATAATAAATCATATATAATAACAAAATATTATACATTATATATAATAAAATTAAATATAATAGAAAATAAAATATTTTGATAAAAGAACTGAATTTGGTACACTTATTCTTAGTTTGTCTCAAGATAGAAGAGATATGAAGGTCACTATTACTTTTTTAAATATAATTCATGATTCAAGTCGACGTGGCAAATCTTTATTTTCTGTAAAAAAAAAAAAATATTAGTCTATGTATATCGAGAAGCTGTTAATTTAAAAGATACTTTAACTTTAATTTTATAAAATCTATTCTTATATTCGTACTATCTTTTATGCATAGTTTATGAAAAATATTTCCTAAACTAATTTTTTTAGACACAGATATATTAATACTGTTTTTTTTTTTTTTTTTTTTTTGTAGAGAACGACTTGCTGCACCGATTAATGGCTTACTTATAATTAATATTTATACTTAAAATTACTTATAATTATACTTTAAAAAAAGTAGTAGCAACCTTCGTATCTGCTACACACGTTCAATTTAAAGACGAACTAACTGTACCAAATTAATAATTTTGTCCTCTGAAAGCAGAAAAAGAATACATTTTAAATGACGAATAAATTGAAAAATAATTTATAGATTAAAAATCTGTACACCCTGTATATAAAGTGGAGTAAAAGTTTCTCAGACGTATGAAGTCTGACAGATAACTCGCTACGGCAAATATTTGGTAGGTGAAGCGAAAGAACGAGAAGAATGTCGCGAAAACAGCTTTATCGCGGAAATGAAGTTTTAAGGGGCGAGAGCAGTGAGCTGCTCGACAATATGTGAAGTTCTGCGAACGAAAAGTTTTAACGCTCTCTAGGTATGGCAGAGTTTTTCGTATTCGAATGCTCTGACATCCGAACATTTTTACTAGTGATAGATTCAACTAATAATGGATGCAAATAATATTTAGTAATAATAGATGCAAATAATAATATTCACTAGTCTTATCTTGTACTAAATTATTTTATATGCATATTATATCCTAGACGAAGAAAGTAACTGAACCAATATGAAAAATTATATCAATTATATCAATAAACTGAATTCGGTTTTTCCAGAAATGTTTTTACATCCTGCAGAGATTGGGAAACCAAGGATTTCTCGAAAATTGTAAAAATTTTTAATGTTTGCAAAAGCATTAAAACATTCTTTTCACGACTAGACTGAAATCTTCTCTTTAATCTACTCTTTAATGGTCACTGAAAATTTGCTGCACAATTTTCATTCATTTTGTTGAACTTTAAATAATAGTGTGACCACAATTTAAGAAATCCTGACATTTTGCCGTTTAATATTTCAAGTTCAAAAAAATGGCAGAAAAAGAATCGTACAGCAAGAGAAGATTAATGGAAGAGAAGACTAATAGATCATGGTGGATCTGGTCATAAAAGAATTTTACTCAATCCCGTCAAAGGTACTGTATTTCACGTAAGAAATTTCATTTTAATATAAATCCAAATAATAATGAATGGTAATATTGTATAAATTAATATTCATAATTTAAAAATATAATTCAAAAATTAAAAATTAAAAATATATAATTTTCTAAAATTTAATTTTATTAATAAATGAATAATAAAATGTAAGATAATTGAATACAAGGAAATAATGAAAATTGTTTTATATTTAATAAATATATAAAAATTATTAAAATATTGTTAAATGATGTAGAACATGCAAATAATTTTTTAAGTGAAAAATTAATATTAATATAAATTAATATAATAATTATAATTTATATTAATTAATATAATGATAATTTATAATATAATATATAATATATTATAAATTATCATTATTAATTAATATAATAATGATAATTTATATTATACTAATATAAATTAATATAATAATGATTCACATAATAATTGATGTAATACTGTATTTTACTATTACTTACGTAACGATAATTATTGGGCGAACGAAACGCATTTATTAAGGAAATTGCTATCTTCTATTTCTCTTTCATATCATACTGAAATTAATCGGATCTTAACAAACACCGGAACGACTAATTACCTTCAAGGAAGATAAATGACACGGGAGAATCGGGGCGAACTTTTTAAATTAATGAACGCTGTGTTTGCAAAATTTTTGTTTTAAATCGCGTTTCATTACGTAACTTTTTACAAGGGTGTTATTTGTCTACCTTTATCACGCCCGTTTCGTAAATACCCGCTACGTTCATTCACCCGTGCGTATAACGCGCACCTCGCTAGACACGAAAGCAGTTAATCAAGTTTTAGCGCTGAAATTCTTTCGAACACTCCCATTTACGACGTCTTCCAGGAAACTGTTTTAATGAAACGTGTAGTTAAAGTGCCGAGTATGAAAAAGTTTCGCCGTGAAATTTTTAAGTAATCGCTAAACACGTAATAATTCAAGACCATTCTTATAATCTGAATACTGTAGAATCTCGTTTATCTTCATCTCATTTGTACGAACTGGTCGCCAGTCGTTTCCATAAATATCTCAACAGATATAATATTTGTTTCAGATACAATTTAACAGAGTATTTATAATCTCAGTCAGAAGTTTCATTTGAAATTACTGAAAATTTTATTTGAAATAACATTTCAACTAATTTATTACTCTCATAATTATTTATTCTAATTTATTCTCATTTGAAAAATAATTCAAGTCCAAATCAAATGAATTATTCGCAAATAATAATCGTTTATTCGGATGAATTCATTTAAATAAAATAATAAATAATCACAGTGGAAGATGAAATAGTCACAAGAATTAAAAGTTAATTGAGAAATTTGAACTAGAAATTATTTAAAAAGTTTAAATTATAAAATACAAACTGAAATAAAAAAAAGTTACTTTATAGATAAGACAAATAATCAAATAGTTTAGAGAAAAATCTAAAATTGATCGAATAAACTAAAATTATTTCAAGATAACATCGAGTCAAATAAGATGATACATTATTTAAATAATCATTTTCCAAATATTTCATTCGAATAAGAGTCAAGTCTGATCTCAATTGTACTAAAATATAAGAAATTAATAGTAAAGGGATGTTCGTCGATCGTAATGAATGTCAATCTTTTGACAGAATTGTTACAAAAGTAAAATGTCTCCTAAAGAAATTAATTCGAATATTAATTGTAACAAGTTAATGTAAATTGCTTCTTTTAAATATTTAATTTCAAAAATCTCTTTTATCCTACTGAAATGAAAAAAAAAACATTTTTAGTATTTTCCTGAGATACTTTTGGAAAGAATAATTTACTACTAATCGAAATGTAGTAACGTTACTATAAAAGAGACAGGGCAAGTCGTAAAATCTTTCTCGAAACTACTAACAATAAGCCTTAAAAGCCATTGTCTCACCTACGATTCTTTTCCCATTACTCTCGTAATCCTAATCCTGAACTTCCAACGTCTCCATATACAATTCTAGATCCAGCTGTCTCCTCTTATCTTCAACACCACTAATATTTCACAATGTTTTAAGAGTATATTTCAAAGATAAACCAAATACGTATTTTAGAGGCCAGGATAAACTACACAAAACTGACATTGTTCGAGTATGTACTTTTAATCTCTTTGAGATGAATCTTAAACAATTATATTGAAAGACAACTTTCTTCGTTTCACTCTACTATAGCACCTTTTTTATTTTATTATTACTCCATTATATTATTAAATTTTACTGTTTTACTTTTATTTTTCTATATATATCATGTGCATGAGAAATTACGTATTAAAATTTGCAAACAACATTACGGAGATTTACCTAATATTTAAATGTTCCAAACAAAATACTTTAATTTTTATTACAGAGAAGTGAGTACATTCGACTGATCATTTGCCTCTAGCTTTTCACATGTTGTTTATATACAATGTTATTGAACTTTTAGTATATCGAAACAATTACATCACATGCTCGTAATATAATTATACATCTAATATTTGATATTTTAGAAATTGTCTAATTCTCAACCAAAAAATTTTCATCAATGTAAACTGTATGATACACAACTGTATGATTAACTATTTAAAATTCCGAAACTACACTGTCTCACATCCAAAATTAAAATTTTTTAAGAGAAATTATAATAAATTGATCATTTTGATAGTTGTAGCGTTAAGGGGACCCGAAACTTGTCAAAATGACAATGCATAAATAAATAAATAAATAAATAAATAAATAAAAAAATGCAACCATCGCGTATCTTTGAATATATAATCCCATAGTGTGTCACACTAACCCGTAAGTATCTCCAAACTGACGTCGGTGCTCCTCGCGTGAAGTCTTTTCCTGCCAGCGGCGGTGTCGTCGATGGATCCTCGGCTTCCTCGTCTCGAGGCCACCCTTTCCTCCGATTTCGCCCGTACGTCCGATCTACCAGCGCTGCTGCGTCGATGCCTCCTGTCCCCTCGATCCTCCGATCGGTACCTCTTGTCGAACTTTTTGTACAGCCGATGACCAGACACGTGCTTCGTCGCGGATGATCGGTGGCCTTCCGGGGAGTCCGCGAAACCTGCCGGCGGTCGAACGATCTCTTCCGAGACCTCGGGGTGGAGCAACACGACGGCACGCACGATAGAGAAAAGAGGTAGACAGACCGACAGATAGAGAGGACAGATCGATTCGAGATTTGGTTTCTTCTTTTTTTTTTTTTAAATAGTTTACTGAAGTTGTTGAGGTTTAACAATCTGAACTAAATGAATTTTTAAGTCAGAGCTGATTTCGACTGTTTTTAACCTGCCAACTCGGGGATTGAAGCTGTTATTTTCAAGGAACAAATGGTGTTGTGAATTTAATTTTTTAAGCTTGGTATTATTGCTAGACTGCGGATATATTTAAATATTTGTATATTTGTTCTCAATTGATCATTCTTGATCAATATTCTTATTCCAATAAATATTTTTTATTCTGTACAATGTATACCTTTGTTCTAATGAATAGAATTCGTTTCTTAATTTTTTATGAAAATCTTCTTATTTTTCGAATGACACTATATTGTATGCATGTATTTTGGAATTTTCCACGAATAAGGTAAAGCTAATGGAAATTAATTCTTCTTCGTATACATTTAATTATGCGTTAGAAAGATTCTGAGCAAGAAAGTACGTAATTAAATTTACTTTTAGTTCATCGAACAGTTTGTCAACTTGAATTAATAGGCCTAGTTAACAGGTTAGGAGCTGGTTCGTCAGAAACGAGTAGGAAGAAAGGAAGAAATTCAAGACTCAAGCAACGACTAAACTACGCTACAAACTTTCTCTATTCATATTTCAATACACTAAACACAAGAAATTGTTTTCAAATACTTTCGAATACTACCACCAACCAAGGAAAAAAAAAAAAAGCAGCAAGAATATTCGTTTAGAAACCTCCTGCAAATTAGAGATCCCTGTACATTCGATATATCCGTGTTTTAATTCATCTAAAAAAAAAAAAAACGCATTTCCAATACACCTTCAAAACCGTGACGTCTAATCAAGACAAGGAAATCAATCTTTCCTTTCAAAAGTGGAGAACGTGCGAATACTTTATCATCACACAAATTAATTAGAAATCTGTTTGATAAGAGCAGAGATCATGTAAATGATTACAGCTGTACGAACTACAAGTGACAAAGTACACAACAAATTTGACGAAATTTTGCCAGAAAAAAGTTTCATTCCGAATTTACACGAGGGTCAGAAACTGTACGTTGACTATTAAGACACGGATATCCATCTCCTATATCGCATCATGCCTTCGAACTTCCTTCCTTTCACAGAAGGAAACACATTTGATAAACACGGTGAATAATTTACCTCTCTTCCACAATGGTAACAATGCGGGGCGTCGAGAGCGCTGATGGTCAAGCATTGGTCGGCGCCCTCGCTGTAGAAGACACTGTCGCTGCCTGGACTGACGGACCTCAACGATTCCGCTGAAAGAGCCTTCAATCGAGCCTCCGGGCTCTGCGACTCGACGATCAACGCCCGTTGTCCATTGTGTCCTGGACTACGTTGATAACGGCCCGGGCTCAGCCTCGCACACATTATGTCGTCCGCAGCGCGCGATCTTCTTCGTGGAAGGCTGCCTGTTATCGCGGCGTTCTTGTCCTAAATGAAGATGATGGTGTCGAAATGGTGTAGAGAGTTTTTTTATAAATTTTACATTATATATATAGCGTTGGTTAAACTTGATACAGACATAACAATCGTGGCCAGAAGGTGACTCTATATGGAAAAGTAAGTCGAAGGGAAGAAGAAAATCTTGGTCATCTTTCGTGCCGAAAGAAAGGAATGGGATAAAACCATTCACAGTCATGTAGGGCCAGATGGTCGATCGTAAAATGATTCCAATTTTAACTGAAGAGAAATGTTCATTTTTTTTTTTGACAAATTTATTAAATTACCAGTGCAATGGTATAAATGTTGGATCGGTCCACAAGGTCATCAGATTTGATCCTTTAGATTTTTATCTATGAATATGTTTCAATGACACAGTTATATTGATAATTATCAAAACGTGTATGTAGAAAATTAATAGTTGTGCTTGGGCAAAAAGTTTTAATTTTCGAATATCAGCTATTTGGTATTATATCTATAACTATTAAGTATAAGTGAATTATTCAAGTCATTTCTCTATAGTTTATTGAAAATTGACAATTTTCACCATGCAATAAACATAAAAATAGAACTTCCAATATCCGATATTCGAGGTGCGAAATTATATACTTCGTAAGGATTTATTTTACGTTTAGGATAGCAAAAGAACCGGACGTAATATTGTGCAGGTGTTTGAAGTGATTGCAACAAAGTTTACATATAACATTTAAAAAGAAGCAAGATATCTTACGCTCAAAATCCACTGGTTGCCAAAAAATAATTTTAAACTGTATTTATATACAACAAAGAAAAATCATTCTGTCCGATGGGATTTTACATTCGTAATATATGTACAAAACTTTCCAATATGCATAGGTGAATTTGAAAACACACGTCGATATATATTGCAACATTTTCGCAAAATGCAAATTACAACTCCCTGACGGCATCCTGTCGAATAAATTCAGAAAATGTAACTCTTCGTTGTTGCTTTAAAAATAAAAAAAAAATATGTATCTTTCGCATCATTCAAAAAGAATAAAATACTCGTTTCAAAACTGTAAAAATTAAATAATACTTTGTATAATAATCTAATACAGACAATCTTTGAAATTTTATTACCTACAATTTAATTTTTAACTGATGTCGTTGATGTCACTAGAAAGCATAGCACTTTAGAGTAAATTTTTAATTTATCAATCAAATGGAGAATACAAGAAACGGAATAAAATCGAATATCCTAAATTTTCATAATCTAATATAAATTATTGTGTCATAATTATCTGTAATGATAAGTATTTATTGGAGGGTCAAAAGTAAAAAGATTTCTCAAGATTTTCGAACCGAAGTGTACTAAATTTCTTCTAAATTTCTACATAAGGTACATTTTCCGATTTGTTCCAAATATGATCAATAAAATTGTAAGAATTATGTTTCACTATAGTGTTAATGAAATTTGTATATTTGTACATATAATATATCTATAGGATATTCCTATAAACAATTGAATTTATAGTAAAATGAAATTTTAAATAATCCTAAATATATTAAAATAATGTAAAAATATAATATAGTAAAATATACTAAAATAATATAAAAATATAATACACTAAAATATACTAATATACTAATATAAAAATATAATATACTAAAATATACTAAAATAATATAAAAATATAATACACTAAAATATACTAAAATAATATAAAAATATAATATACTAAAAAAATAGATACTAAAACAATCCTAATAGATACAAATAAATAAACTCTCCTACTGGGATAATACATATCCCAAAGTTCTTCTCCTCTTTGTACGCTCCAACAATAAAAATAAATTAAGCAAAAGAATTTTATAAATATAAAAATAAACGATACTAACACAAACTATTAAACTTGATTCAACTCCATTGAAAGAAAAAAAAAAATACTTCTACTCTTCATTTTTATTCCAATATTGAAATAAAAAGAATAAAGTACTCCTATTCTGGAATTTAATTAGACTTTAACAAAAAAAAATATTTATTTCCTTTGCTATAATTTATGTTAACGTCAGAACGCAGAGACTAAACGTTCTTCAACAACGTCACTCACCTCGTTGCTTCTTCTCCTAGCAGAAACGTAGCCAGTGGTCTTCCTCCTGGGACTCTCTCTGGTCCTCCGATGCCTTCCGTCAGCGCCCTCGCGATGCATGTGATGATGATGATGGTGGTGCATGTGGTAATGATGGCTGCAGCTAGAATCGTCCGAAGTAGGAACGTGGCCACCATCCTCGGTCTGTTCGACGCGCCAATCCTCCTTCTGAGGGCTCCTGGTGAGCTGCTGTTGCTGCGACTGTTGCACCTGAACCGTCGACTGTTGCACAGTCTCGCGCTTCCTGTTGTTCTTGTGTGGGCTTCTGGCGCTCGTCGACTTCCCTCTCGGCCGATGACGATGACTCGGCGTTGGACTGACCTCCACGTTCTCTCCGTACAGCTCTGCGCCGCGTTCGACGCCCGCCGCGCTTCCAAGGAAGTCGAGGGTGAAGGTTTTCCTTCGTCTGCGACGTTCTTCCTCGGTCCAGCCGCGTAGATCCGGCGGAGACTCGGCGTAACCGCCGGAAGAGGAGCGGTGACCTTCCTGGAAGTGAATGGTAACCATGCTTTAGTGCTCCCTTGAGCTCCACCTTCGCGATATAATTTTGTTTACATACGACGAGCGTGATCGTGCCAATAACAATGAAATATTGTCGACAATTTAAACTGATGTAAGATCGTGTAATGATTCAGTAGATTTCATTTTAAAGCGCAAAGTCGCATTTTATTTTACAATTTATAATTTTATTATAATTATTATTTCATAATTGAAAATTATATTTATTATATTAAAATAATATTATTATAAATTATTTATTATTTTATAATTTAATTATATGTACATATTACAATTTATATATATATATATATATAATTTTTAATTAATATAGTTTAATAAAATTTTATAATAAAAATATGTTTCAGTAATAATTAAAAATTAATAATGTTATTAATGGTTTAAATGAGAATGAATTTTTTAAAAATGAATAAGTGAAATTTATTTTGTATTTTTTGTATCAGTGGTTAATTAATTAATTTTAATAATTTTAATTATCTCGAAAGTAAATAATCTAAATATATATGTATATATTATTTTCTTTGTAAAATAGGAAAATAAATATATATTTTGAAATTAAATGTCTGTCGTATTTATTAATATCTAGTTCTTTTTTAATAAATTTAATTCATATATATATAATAATTCCATTCGTAAGTTTGTTTCTCTTTCCTTTTCTTTTTTTTTTTTTTCGAAGATTATTTTAGTGAGAAGATAATTTTCTGAAAATCGTAAAAACTTCAAACGTGTATGAAAATCTTCTTGCAACGACCATTTAAAACTCGATTTCTTTTCCATTACTTTATTGAAGATTAGAGTTTAATATTAATGTTAGGATTTCTTATTTTTAGTCGTTTAATCTCGACATTCAATAAAATACTGAAAAAAAAGTCGTACAGTAAGTTTTAAAGGGTCGCTGTAAAAAGAGAACTTCAATCTTCAAAAAGATGGTGGATCTAGTCACGAGGATCTAAACACATGCTAATATTCAAATATCCACTTTAGATGTGTGAGAAATACCCTTAATAATTTATTTTCAAATTTTTAGAAACGTTTCTCTCGAAACTAATTTACGGTACAATTATCATTTTTTGCCACCAAAGTACGTATAAAACGTCCAACACAAAGGGTTTCGTAACAAATTCGTCGCCGACTCTGCACGTCCAATTTTTTCCTTTTTTGCCATTTGCGCAAAAGATCGCGTTTAAAAATTCGCCGGCGTTAACTTTCATATCTGAAAAGTGTACCGTCCAAATTACCGCAAGCTACTCGGCTAAATTGAGCTATGTGAAACAATGTGTTGCTTTATCGTCGAGTGACAGCGTTTTCGTTCGCGACCAAGCAGTACATACATGCTACAAATGTCCATTTCAACGGGGGCAAACTTGCCTCAGCTAAAAGTTCTGAATCCGTGTGAACTGCTTTATATAAATCTACGTTCTTTTGAAACGCGACAGTGAACTGCCGCAGCGGTCAATATCTAGATGTCTGTGTCCCTTTTGACGGACGCAAACTAACTGCCTGGTTAATGTGTCGAATGAGTGGACAAAGTTGAATGAAAATGATAAATGATAAATAATGCTTGACGAGCAATAAATAAATTAAATTAAATTAAATCAGCTATACTGTTGCCATAATATATCTACGAAAGTTTGTAATAAAATCGAGATGACACGATCCCAAGATTTACATTTAATCTTCCAGAAATCGTGGCTCAATTGGAGCGAGACTAATTCGACACCATTAACGAAATTCAGAATTACAAAATTCCTGACAACCGTCTGATATTCCTTTTGAAAAAAAGAAAAATAAATAAACGGGGAAAATTTTCATTACTTACGATTTAAGTATCTCGTTCTTGCATCTCATTACTAGACTGCGGATCTTTATGCAATTTTTATGAACATAATGGAGCTTATATAGAAATTTGTTCTTGCGCCTTCTGAGTCGAATAATTTGACAAAGTCTAAGAAAAATCGAGAACTTTATAAAATTTAAATAGAAACATGTTGAGACATAAAGTGAAACGTCATTCAGTGTACAAAATTTATGTGCATTTCATATTGAATGAACCTCCGTGCATTTCGACATTTGTTCAAAATAATAAAGGAAATACAAACACACGTACAATCTACATGTAACACAAAACGCGAGAAAATTTATTTTCAAAATTATTCGTAAACAATATCATTAATTAAGCTATATCGAATACAAATAAGTAACAATTCTATGACAGCACCTAGCAAAATTAAACGTAAGCCGTGTAAAATTCAAAATTCCCCCAGAAAGGTAATAAAAATCCGCAATCTAATCGCCCAATCGTTCAACCCGTACTTTGCAAACATCCGCGATGTGCAAATTGCCCCTTCGTAAAAGTGTCACGTCCTCCGTCCGAATGACAATGAAAATTTGCCAATGGTGATATAACGCGCGATCGACAGACCGATCGGAATTAGCTTAATTATCGTCTTACGTCATGATCCAGCTCCGTTTCTGAGGTGTGCCCGCTCGGCGGCGCCGTTTGCTGCTCGAGTTCCTGACCCGGATCTGTCATCGCATCTTTCAGGTCGTAGCTGCCCGAACTGCTGCTGCTCGTGGACCTGGCTGGTGACGGCGGTACCTCCAATCCAAATGGAATTTCCGTTTCCTCCAATATCGGTGGTGGGCTGCATGGCTCTTCAACGACCGCCTGACGCGACACACACCGCGGAATTTCAATTTCGCATTGTGCACCGTACAAACACACTTTTGCCTTATGCTTTCTTTAGCAACTACTTGACAACGAAAGAAACTGAATATATACAGTGTTACGTGGTTTCTTGTGGCTGTCTATTCGGCAGGTTTTGCAAATCAATGGAAGGCAATTGAACGTGAAGGATAGTACTTTCGATGAAGGAGAAATAATATAATCGCCAGTGATACTTCGAGTCTATAGAAGGCACAGAATGCAGATTCGTGTTTTGTAAATTGGGAATATAATTATGAAAGGAAACGTAATTTTCTTACGAGCTGTAAGCAAGGTATACTTTGTATATTTTATGTATCTCCGCAACTTTGCACTTTAAAAAATTCCCTGCAAGTGTATTAATCAGTGTAAGCTATTTGTTGTTAAAAAGGATAGTACTTTCGATGAAGGAAAAATAATATGATCGCCAGTGATGGGATCTAAGATATTTCGAGTCTATAGAAGGCACAGATTCATGTTTTGTAAATTGGGAATATAATTATGAAAGGAAACATAATTTTCTTACGAACCGTAAGTGTCCTGAGAAGCAAGGTATACTTTGTATATTTTATATATCTCTGCAACTTTGCACTTTAAAAAATTCCCTGCAAGTGTATTAATCAGTGTAAGCTATTTGTTGTTAAAAAGGATAGTACATTCGATAAAGGAAAATAATATGATCGCCAGTGATGGGATCTAAGATACTTCGAGTCTATAGAAGGCACAGATTCATGTTTTGTAAATTGGAGAATATAATTATGAAAGGAAACATAATTTTCTTACGAACCGTAAGTGTCGTGAGAAACAAGGTATACTTTGTATATTTTATGTATCTCTGCAACATTGCACTTTAAAAAATTCCCTGCAAGTGTATATTAATCAGCGTAAGCCATTTGTTATTAAAAATACTTTCTCTTCTCAAAATCTTCAGTTACAATATCGTAATAATTAGGTTATACCGTCTAGATTGCGAATTTTAAAGTGTAAAATTCCACAGAATAATATAAAAAAATATATAAAATATTCAAAGTGTAATATCCGATATGTAAAATAATTTATTTTCGAGCTTCTTGATCGTTTTTAATCATATTACTGAAAGATATGAATTTGCATAAAAATCCGCAGTCTGTAAAATAGTTGTGTCGGCTGAATAAACAGCTTAATAACAAAGGGATATTTATATAGTACAAATTATTTAAAATAAAAAGCAACTGAATTACACTGGTTAGCTTCTAAGCCCTCCATATGTATCTCCAAATTTAAATTACCCTAAACACTCAGAGATTAGTGATCTTGGAAGTCTTGGTAGAAATAGATACACTCATTAACATTGTTATTTAACAAATGTATCTGCACTACAATTACAAATGTAATTATCGTATAATTGTTGGTATCTCCAACCTTCTGAATTTCCTTTAATATCTCTCTATGAGACAAAGTAATCTTGTAAGATACGTTAGTAAATCCTGTTGCGAGTCTCGAGAGTTTCAAGATATCCGAAAGAATCAAGATTTCCAAGACTTTCAAGACTTCCAAGGCGGGCAGAACTTTCGAGAATTTCAAGACACGAGACCTATCGAAACTCCAAACTTATCGAGATTCAAAGCTTTAAATTTTTAAGCTTCGTTCCAAGTGATTCGAACTTTTTATTATCGGATCTCTATAGAAACTCTTGATCGATCGAGATTATAGACTTGGGGTATCAAGACTTTCGAAAAGTCGTGTTTTTGAGCTACATGTGCAAACTTGAGCAACGAAAGAAAGTTTGACAGAACTACACTTGTTTCTGTCATCATTGATTGAAACATACAAATAGACAAAATTTCTTATTAACTCATTATATTCTTTACTAACTAACGAATATTATGTATCTGCGTAAATTTCTAAAAAATCAATCAGTTTTCCTCTAACCTTCATCAACCATCATTAGATATTCAAAGCCATATATCACAATTCTTGATCTAACTTTATTACTCTTATATATTATTATTATTATTACTATATTATATAATTATACAATCTATATATAATATCATAATAATAATATAAATATAAAATATACTACAACTTAATATATAATTTCATTACACTAAAATTTCATTCCACTATGTCACTAAACGATTGAACACATAAAATCCGATCAACCTAATGTACAAATTCATTTTCTCTCGCCAACGGCGAACGAATTAAAAGCGCCGTGCTTTCGTTAACAAATTCAACAAGAACAAACGTTCAGAAACTAGCACGGTCGGATCGGGGCGCAAAAAAAAAAAA